TTAAGCAAGGAAAGTACAATGTTAAATAAGTAAACAAGAATACTTGTAAAACTTGACAATTACAATTATAATAATATAAATTGACAAGTTATACAAGTGATTATAACATACTTCCTAAGATTACAAGGCTAAGACATACTTATTAATTTGTGAAAGTATAATATCTGCTTATAATGTCTACAAGTCATTACAAGTGTTTGAATAGCTTGCTTTTGCTTAGTATACAATTTTGTATCAAATAATTAATCAAATATAATTATATTTAAATTATAGAATACAAAAATAGTAAATAATACACTATTTCTACAGTCCCAACCCCTACACCACTAGCTGCCTCTGCCTCATTCTTCTGCGAGTGGGATTTGTGTTGGAAAAGGGTGAATGCATTCTCAGGCCGTTCGACGTAGTCTTCGTCACCACGTTTTGGTTGTCGCTCGGTCCCTGCAAGTTGAATTGCGAGCGTGTGTGAATTGAGGTCGAGCAGGTTGTGGTGATTGAGGCTGTGCCTGTGAGACGAGTTTAGAGTGATTAGCAAGTGAAAATAAGAGAGAAAAGATGGACGCACTGCGACAGCGTGCAGCAAGTGTGGGTGGGTCACCTGGGTTGGAAATCCGGAGCGTTGAGCGAGCTAATTTGGGCTGCAGGGGAAAGCGTGTCTGTGCAAGCGTGTTGCATGTTCTGGCTATGACGCGATGCGCAATCGGAGATGCAGTGAACTCAGTAATAGTTGTGGATGACTTTGAAGGTGTATCTCTAGGACGTTCTGGCTCGAAGGGAGAGGATGAAGTGGGTAGTGCGGGCGGACTCGGCTCCGGAGAGGTGAGCGGTGGCTACTGCTTCCGTTATTCAAAATGGTGTCATAGACGGCACTGGGGAATATAAATGTACACGGCGTGGGCCCATCGAGGGTGATGTCAAGCATAGGATGGTGGGAAGGGAAGGAGAGTGTGCAGGGGGTCAGAGAGAGGATTGCGCCTGAGGAGTGGTCATACATGGACATTGTTGCGAGCGCGTACTCACCGATTGTTGCTTGCGTTGCTGAGCGGGAAGAAGTACGCAAATGCATGGAATTACTGAAGAAGTCGTTCGGCATTGGTCAACAACGCGGATGCGCAAATGCGAATGCAAAAAGGAAGGCGAGCGTAAACAGAGGAGGACAACGAAAGAGAGGCAATGCAAGCGGTGGAGCGAGGAGCGAGGAGCGGGAGGGATGGAAGGGAGACAAGAAGTTGGGAGGATAGGGATGAGCAACTATTGTGCAAGTTATTATGAAGTGGACTTGCTACTTACGCTTTACAATGAAGGACAGTGTAGCCAGCTCGGCTGTGTCGTCACAGGATCTGAGGCTCAGTGTGGGCATCACAGTGGCAGATTAGAGAGACGAATCCAGCAACGTTTATTGTCTAGGCGGTCGCAGGCAGTGTGCCTGCTGGAGAATGCTTGTAGGCAGAGGACTGGGCTGGAGAGAACAAAAGAAACGACATAGTGTTGGGGGAAGAGGGTTGGGGAGATGGTGGAAGTAGGAGGAAAGGAGTGATGAGAGCAAGTGCATCATTATATGCTCTCGATCCTCGGTACTCGATTATGTAATCACTTTGATATATTGTAAAGGTAAAACCAAGTTATATTATAAGTTTAACATGGTGATTGTTAACAATATTAATATATATAATTGCATATTATCTTACTAAAAGGATTGTAATTAACTTACAAGCACAATGTATTACTTTTATAACTATTATAATCAATCAACTATTATTACAAATAACTTATAATATAATTTTAACATATTATAATAAGAGTTAAGTGCTTATATCTTACATGTAATAATGTAATAATACTAGTATTAAGCTTACTTGCTTTAAAAAATACTTGTAGTTTAGCAAAAAGCTTGTATATTCCTTATATTTATATACAATCATTAGAATTATATTATAAGTAAAATATAATTACTATGTTAGATTGTAATGCTTGTGAAATTATATTATTAAATTACTTTTGCTATTATTAATTACATTTGTTGTGACTTTTTTGTGATGTAGAGATTATCTTTGTACTTACTCCTGTACTTAGGTCAACCTCTCCAATCCCAGGTCTTTACCTGTTCTGTGTTCTTAAGTAAGGCTCTGGCCTTTACACTTTTTTTTAAACATTGCAAAATTTAGGGATTACCTCTTATCTGCTGCCTTTTACTCATACTACCAGATTGTTAGCCTCCCCCCAGCTTCCCCCTACACATCCACTATCTACTACACATCTACAGTACTCTATAGTAAGACCCTAGTTAATTACAAGTGTCACAAATACTATACAGATATCCTGTTCTCTCTTGAGGGCTTCATCACGAAAAAGTCGCAACACTTGTATTAGATTATAACCAGGTATATTTTATACTTTTTGTAAATTTTGTTGAAGCAATTATATTCTTCATAGGGGTTTTCACAAGTTAATTATAATTATATACAAGTATAATGAGAATCTAGAACAATTATTGAAATTACTGATATTAATTATGATTGTACATATTGTCAAGATATATAAGTGATTATAACATACCTCTCAAAATAATAATGTTAAAATATACTTATTATTTTTTGACAGTATAGTATTGTCTTACAATATATACAAGTCATTACAAGCATTTGGATAGCTTGCTTTTGCTTTACATGCAATTTTGTATCAAATAATTAATAAAATGTAATTATATTTGATTATTTAATACAAAAAGATAGTGAATATTATATTATTTCTACGGTCCCAATCCCTGCACCACTAGCAGCCTCTGTCTCGTTCTTCTGTAAGCAGAATTCTCATCGGTAAAGGATTAACACGTTCTTGGGCTGTACAAAATAGTCTTCGTCACCACGC